TATACTACAGTAATACTATTGTAACGTAGACATCCTATAAAATATTTAGTAAAAAACAATAAAACTTGTATGAGCTTTAAGGACAGGTATTGCAGAAATATTCAGGTAATACAAAATGATTGTTCGCATGGCATACTTTATACTACGCCTACTATTTAATTGAAGTATAGATTTTGGAATTGATCATGTTTAATCCAACCAATGTGGTTGTTATAATTAATTATTGATAACACAATCGTTTCGTACCATAATTACCTAACGAAGGGTAACAATTAGAAAGTCGATAACATTCAACGAAAAATATTTGAACATGCAAAATAAATGACATCGATGTAACCGTTAACCGCATAGCAACAAACTTTTGAATTTGCATATAATTGATTCGTGGATGCCAATGTACCACCACCTGCCAACTTGACATTCAATATATTTGTAAAACACACAACGACCATATTGTAATATTTTATAAATTGATTTGGAAATCAGGCTTGTAATTCATAGCATAGTTACAGTATTTCCATATTTTAAACTGAACGAATTTAGATGTTAATTTTTTCAGTTCCGTGTTAATGATTATTGTTTTGGTAACTTTGTTCACTACATGATTTTGGGTATCAGTGATTAATTTCTAGACTAGAAATTACTTTATAGATGGTTCATCTGCATGGATTGTGAACAATGATAATAAGTACATAGTATTTCTAAAAATGAGCTCAATTTGAGGTTTTTGTGGCAAATTGCATTGGAAAGTGGAACAAACTCAATTTTCGTAATTAACTGAGCAATTGTCGTTGACTACAACTGTTCCCTGTGATTTAAAATTACTATTCTTGACCAAAAATCTAATATATAAAACTCTACCAAAAATCCTGATAGGGGTTGAAATGGTCAATTATATCTAGTAGCATTATTAAAATTGTCTCAACACATTTTCAATGCTATTAGCCTACCATACAAATGTATAGCCTTTATAAATAAACAGCCAAAGCATTCACAGCCACCTTGCTAACGTAACATTACAGTAGGGCGTGAATATAATTAAATTCAGAGTTGATAGAATTAAAATGCAGCATTTTGTTTGTCCCGAGGATGAATTCAGCAAAAGTCACTGTTTTGTTTTTGTTTCGTTTCAGCAAACGCCCAAACGAGAAAGCCACATTTTTGTGGTGTTAATTAATTTCTACCTCGGGGCTAAATTATATACATGGAATAAAACGATAAAGAGATGAATTTCAAGAATGCCACATAGACAATAAGACCTGGAGGGATGCATTTCATTCCGCTCCCTTCAGTGAGGCATTTTAAACAAATCTTTTAACATTACTTATTATACTCAATACTTGATACTCCTCCTGCTAAATCGTGGATCGTTAAAGCGATTTGTATAATTTTAGTATAGTTATATTATCTGGAATATGGGGTCAATATACAAAATAGATAAGAGGTATCATATAACTATATTAATTATCTATATATATAAAAGGCAAAGCCCTCACTGACTGACAGACTCACTCATCACTAATTCTCCCACTTCCCACTTACCTAGGAGGCTGAAATTTAGTACACTGATTCTTTAGGCATTAAATAGGAAAACTGAGTGGTTTTTATTCTGATCGGACTCTCGGGCTCCGCCCCAGTGGCTCTGGAGTTTCCCATGTTAACCTAATGAGTACTCATATTTAAATGGAATTAATGAATCATAACAGCTGTTTCAATTAAACAAGTTGGTTCTGTTCTGTGATGTTCAATAGCATTAAAGTTACTAGGATTACCAACAGAGTGCAGCACTATTATTTTTTTAAATTTATGACAACAGCTAATTTGCAACCAAAAGGTGACTGAGCTCAGCGAACGAACTTCAACCCGGAGGCGAGTGTAGCGAACGAGCTAACCTGAAGGCAAGTGAGCGCAGCGAACGAGCTCCAACCGTAAAGGTGAGTGAGCGTAGCGAATGAACTTCAACCAGGACGTGTGAGCGCAGCGAACGAGCTCCAACCTAAAGGTGAGTGAGCGTAGCGAACGAACTTCAACCAGGACGTGATTGAGCCATGCGAACGAGCTCACATATGAAGTTAAACGGGGCAAAGCCCGCGGGTACAGCTAGTATTACATATTTGAGTAAAGTCACTTCTGTTAGTACATTATCAACGAGCACGGACACTAAATGACCCGCTGAAAAAAACGAAAGATTGAAGATTGATTTATGTTTATGTTTATGTACAATAAATTATTTGATTTGATTTATCAACAACACATGCATTACTATTTTAATAAGAAATATTTTACAAAATAATGTCTTCGTGAAAGCATTCAGTTTAGGTGGAACCGAAAACGCAATGTTGAATCGCCATATTATTCATGACATTATAAAAATAAAATATTTCATGTAATACAGGGTTTTTCCAATATAGTTAATGTATGTTAGTTACACGTACGTTGCAATGGTTCATGGAATTAGATTAACAATGTGCGACTTACCACTTGACTAATTATATTGCGCTCTGTGGTAGTATTAATCCTAGGACTTTTGTTCTGGGAGTTGATAAAATATGTTTTCATAAGCTAGATAGTAATGTGCCCAATATATATCAATTTATGAAAACCTTTTATCTGGCGAGGGGTAACTATTTGTAAAAGCTATTTACATATATAAAAAGGTCAAATGCGTTTCATTTGCCGAATCTGTGAAATATTTATACGATGAACTTCTTATGTAACAGAAAAAACACAAATATACGAGTGGCAAATCAGGTATCATAATACAAACAGATTAAAATGTCATTTAAAAAGAAAACAAGAATTATTTTTTCTATGTACTCCTTTTACCACGAATCGTCCGTATCGTCACGAAATAGTTAGGTAAAATTCTGTGTTGGATTAGGGAATAGCAGGATCCAGGAGCAGCATTTAGCAGTCTCTGTGAAAGGGGCCGACTTGAATAGAAACCCTTTATTTCTCTAGAAAGACTACATTTGAGGGCCCTTTTCTATATAACACGAACTTAAGAAGCGAATACCAGTAATGTTAGCTAAGATTATATTTTACAATCTTCTTCCAGGGAACCAGAATTTTCATTATTTCATTATTCTTCAATATTTTATTATTGTAAATGTGACTGTACAAATGTTTAGTCGTGGCTACCGAACGATAAATTATACCTTGGCAAAGATTTTATATTTAAAGCAATAGCGTTTAGGTCCCTCCACCAAAATCTTTCTCTGCCTCCACGATTATTCTGAAATAAATAAACAATAGTGTTTCGTATATTCATATTGTTTAAGTTTTCTTTTAGAGATTGTTTGAAATAAAATTCAAGAAATCCGCTGAAAAATTATGTGTAGATGCCGACGTTTAATTTTACTGTGGAATTAATTCTATTCATTAAGGTATAAGATCAGGACATCATTTGATGCTAAATTTTAAACTGGATGCCTTTTGGGTTTTTTTTCAGCAAAATGAAACAAAATAAATAAATATATTTTTAATCCACGGCTGAACTGACAATCGCGGTTTGTGTTGGGCTGATCTTCATTATGTTACGTTTAAGCTGCAAAAATACGAGTGAAATTAGTTATATATATGGGCATAACACGATAGGTTAATGAATAACAATAGAAGAACTAACATTAAATTCTGTTCATTACCTATGTAAATATCAGTTCGGATCGATGGGTTGGACTTACCGACTATAAGAGAATGTGTCGTGATTATGTTTTATTTGCTTATACCGTTCGATCAAAAGATTGTAACTGCAACAACGATTCGTCTGATTATGTTAGATGGTTAATGTTACCTGTGCCAAATAGATCGCTACAATGTAGGGATATTTACCTATAATATCGCTTTCATACTGTATATTTACAGTATCAAAGCTATCAATCCCGACCGATAATTATATCCGGAGTACTTATTTATATTTAAAGATAACTTACGGAGATGAAATGCTTATATTTAATGGATTACAACCAGAAAATTAGCAATTAGACATGAACAGCGACCGACCAATTCCATTTTGTGTTTTACTGGCCGGTATGCTCTCTCATCGACATGCTCGGATTCAGTTGCAACAGGCTATACATTCTGGCTCACTGGCTCGACAACAAACTCGATAAATTAGTTACAAATTGCCTGCACTCTAAAATGTAAAATGCGTTATCTGATTTGTTGTTGTAGCACAATTTATATTTAATTTTGATTGTAGGCCTAAAGGTTGAAGTATATCTACTAATTAACTCGCTAAGATAATATCAGTAAGCTTTGTAATTGCGGTAAAAATATTTGTATGGTTTAAAACATAAAATCCAGACATGAACTTTGAAATATTCTCGGTCAGCAAAGTTGATAATTTTCGAAAAGTCGCAGTTGATTTATCGGCAATTTTTTCTTAACATTGAAAATAGGCCTAATCTGCTTGAGAATCATTTGAGTGAGCTTAGCAAACCTTTTGATTAACTACTGTACTGTACTAGATAGACTAGTGTATTGGTGTCCATCTATCAAAGTCTGCTGATTTATAATCCACGAATGTCTAATCAGTTCGATTCTGAGAACAGTAGTGTGAGGTTAAGTTTGAAGCAGTTCTGTTATACTGTAGTTTGAAACGTAACAAAGAGCGTAAATAAAAAATACTTTTGTTTTGCTCTAGGAAGTGAAGCGCCGGTCGGATGACGGGACCTGGAGCGATCCAAGAGATGTTTCAGTAGCAATCTTCGGTAACGGTGACTGGAAGTTTAGGTTTAATCGCGACTCGGGACTAAACATAATGTATACCAGCCGAGGCGGGGCGCGAGAGCGAAAGTGAGACCGAATTCTAGAATCGGCCGACAAAAGAACGCAGGTAGACGCGGAGACTGACTAAACTTTCCGAACTCAGCGTACCAAACTCGGAAGGAAAATTGTGATACTCGAAATCGAACAGGTGAGAAGAGCGCGGAGCTCGGACCGGTCAAGCGAGTTTGTGTAGTTGTAGTAGAGTACAGTAGTACTGGTAGGGTACTTACATCCAGTTGGGCTGGGCAGCTAGGGACGATCGGCACGACAGAAGCAACACCCAGGTTAACAACAGAGAGCACATGACACTTCATTCATACAACGACATACCGACCGACATACATACGATCCTCGCTACATCGTATGACGACCCGGTGAAGATGATGTCACTTGCAATGTAGACACCTCAGCGGTCCGCGATACACTGACTGACTGTCTCTGTCTGTCTGTCTTCTACACCGCCTCCCTGCTTCCCGCCCATCCCCTCCTCTAAACCATTCCCCTCCACCCTCTCCGTTCGCTGTATTCACTAGGCTCGATGGACAAATAACTATTATCTATATCAAGAGTATGAATAGGAATATTTTATTTGATATAGTTTTTATATGATCAGAAATTTGAAAAAACCTTAGAAATGGATTATTTCGTCAAATTTTCTTTTTTGATCAAAAACCGAGAACGTGAACAACAGAAGTGCAAACACGTTAATAAATTCTAAGAATAAGGACCTAAGGATAAGACAATGAACTCAACGCCCTGCAAACTACTTTGAGAAAACTTTAATTAAGACTCGTGTGTTATTCATAAAGTAAATATTTGATCACTCCTGTGTCCTCGAGAAACAGACAGGGGAAGGTTCTTGTAGCGACTAAGAGTTAAATATCCCTGCGTGAGGGAATTTTCCCTGGCAGAGCTAGCCTGGGCGGTCTGTCCCTCCTCCTCACGCTAATTATTGTGTATTTACCTCTCGCCTAGAAACAAAGAAGGGACCGCCGACGCTGCGCTCCTTTCTACAAAATTACTTTTTTCATAAATAAAGATATCCACTGTTGCCTTCATGTTCTTGTGACCTTCCATTGCTCGCCCAGGTGAAGTAACACACATTTCTGACTTGAGATGCTAGCACCTATCATCACGGCATATATTTTGGTGTACTCGGTCAGGTGTATTTAATCTACGTAGGATTAGGATATGGTAGTTTGAACTTTCTACAAAAAACAGTTTGAGGTTTCATTGTGTTCGAAATGTTAAAATATTATTTGATTAGTGCTTTGGTTACAAAAACGTGAATCTCTCTAAGAAAAATTCGAAAAAGGAATTAAATGCTAATTGATACAAATAATGCTGTCCAAACGTTGACTTTAAAAGTACCATATCTAATATTTGATTTTAATGGTACTACACAAAGTGTGGTTATAAAATGACCTTAAAGCTCCAGAAAGCTAAGATGACTTCATAAATTTAATTCATCTTTACTTATGAAAAACTAAATCATATGTTATTAACATAACATTAGATTGTTGCCTTATACTATGAAACAACACTCATTTTGTGTGTTAAAGAAGTTTTAAGCCCACGTGAAAGATTCGGGATCAAGAGGTCTCCAGTATTAAACTCACTCCAATACAAGTAATGCTCAACTACACTAATCAGTGGAAGTGTTGGGCCGTTTTTTCTCAACTACGAACGTATATTAATTATATGTCATTGCAAACCTCTATCCAGTCAACCTTGATAACAAATCTTATGTGATAATTCCTATGAGAGACATGTTATGAAGCTTCTATTGTACATCCATTCATTACCCTAGGTAATCTAAGAAACATTTTCTGTCTATTTGTCTGTTTTTGGATTAGCATTTGGAAAATAAAGACAACAGTCTATGTTTAGCTTCATAATTGCTTACAGGAAATTTAAAATGTAGTTTAAGGATATCACACAGAAATTGTGTGCTAAATTTGTACACTAATCTGTATGTTGTACTGTCTCGCCTGATTACGGAAGTATTCGGTTCTAGATCCCGAAATGTTATCAAATTTTTACAGGATGAAAAATGTTCGCAGAAATTCGTTTTACCTGGAGAGAAGCCTTAAAATCGCATACCCCCCGATTCTTACAAATGGCGAGCAAGTAAATTGACGTTTAATTGGTGAACTAAAAACAAACTTGAGCTTATATTGTAATAATACAATTAGTAAAAGATAATTTGACATTATTGTACATTCAATTTTACCAACGATGTAAAAAACTACTAAAATTTTCTTTCTTAAATAACCAAAAAACCATTGATTTTACAAAAAATTTAAATGGCCGCCATTTTGTTTTATGAATTTGAAAAATCGTGATAATTTTTTGGTAGCTTTGTCTAGTTGTCATAAATGTTTGTGCAAAGTTTCCATTTCGTATGTTTAATCATTCTTGAGAAAAAAAACTAATAACTGAAAAAAACAAAATGGCGGCTGTGTGAGTAACTAAGGACTTCCGGACAGTTTAAATATGATATTTAGTTATGTTTCTTACCCAGGAGCAATGCACTAAAATATTGGTAGAGAGTTCCGGGACACCCTGTATACCAAAACTTACAATGTTTTGGGCTCCGAGAAGCAGGCACATATTGGGAGTAGGAGCAGGAAGCTATAAAATCAAATTATTATTGCCGGGTTGTCAGCCAGAACTTTAATTTTCCGGATGGCGAGCTTGCACTAAATGATTCACAACCGGGTTGTGCTCTTATTAAATATCAGTATTCACTCGTTCCACTACTATTCACAAAAAGTCAATAGTTTTTTGCAATTAAAAAACCTATTTTATATGTTGGTAAAAAAAACGTGTCAAACGTACTTTATATCCTATTAAAATAATAATTAATCAAAATTGTTATTACAACAGTAGACCCTAACCCAACAATATTTTGTAGAACAAAATTTGAATAAGTACAAATATTTAATCTGTTTTACAAACTTTCACCAAGTCTCACAGTATTTACTACTCTATCTTATTCAATATAAGGTCCAATAACAATAAATTGTGTTGGCAACAATGGAACAATGCATGTCAGCTTATCGTCAGTGAAGTAAAGGATACAGGGTTAGCAGATTATTAGCTTAATTTGTCCTTAAATATTATCAATCCTACTTAAAATTTGGGTTGCGTTAAAAATGATTGTGAATAATTTTAATACTAAGGTATAACGGTAAGGCACAATGTATTATCTTAGTGTCTAATGTGCCTGAAGTTGATCATTGTTCCTCGATCATTATGAAATCACAACAGCGGCTCCATTACAACATTTGGAAAAAAATAAATATTCATAGATATGCCTATTTTTCAATTTTTTCTAATGACATCAATGTAATACAACACACTCCGGAAAACTCTCTCACTAGCCACTGACCGAAGCTAATAACTACCATCAAAGTAAACACAAAACCTCTTGGACCTGACAATAGCCAAGGCACCCCCAAAGACCACTTACGTGTAAAAGTACGTCACGAAATGAATAAACAGTTGAACCGGAAATGCTCGTACTAAATTATAAACTGTACGATCCGGTTGGCATTGAGATCATGGAGTCAAACATAATCACGACAATAAGCTTAGCTGAAGAACGTAGGGAGGGTAGCGATGCCAGGGGCAGAATAGGGTGCCCGCAATGCTATTGTTTGCATCAATGCTTGCCCAACAATTCCAATAGGCCTTTTTAACCTTACTACTCCTTAATAGTGCATTGTTGGGCCAATTTGCTGGAATAGCTTAAGTATAATTAAGTACCAAAGAATTGATGTAAATACCCTGGATATAGAATTATTAACTAATATTTTATTGGAATATTGTCTTTGTTCACTCGGCAAATATAACAGATTAGAAACCATGTTAGGGCCTGTTACTTAAATTGTAATATTTCCATATGATATCTGTGATGTTAAGGCTTGTGTGTGTTCGGTGTTCAACGAGTGAAGTGTAAAAACAGTTACGATGAATGAATTCAAAACACCTTACTATGATTCAAACCCTTAAACAAACACTTTACCTGATTGTACCTCAGTTTTAGCAAAACTGCAAACTTAGAGGATATCCATGTGTCTGATTGGATTTTTAAGAAGGTATTTGATTAAATGTGTTAGATTTAAATTACATTAGTTTTAACATGAACAGGTGTTTTTTTTTTACGTTTTATAGTGTAATTTAAAATAAATATGCCAAATTTGATCAAAATATATCTTTAAACAAGCAAACTAAACCCGTTTGCTACCCACACTTACAATAGGGCACATTTACAGCACACAATAACTGTAATGAACATTGGGGGTTTTAATTTTTTCGGGGTAAAATTAAGAAATACTCAACCACATTAAACCTGCAGACTGAACAAATTTCTATTTCAACATTTACACAAACAAGCCATATTTATTTATAATTTTTAATTGAATTAGATTTAACGAGTACTTATGTTTGCTGCTACGGTTAAGACAGCCCGATAGAATTGCTTCAACATGATCTAGGGTACGAAATATTTTACTGGAGTGATGTTATACGGTGATCTGCTATATGAGTAAGTGAGTAAATATGGTCACCGATTAATCAAAATTGTATGCATAAAGGTAACATTGAACTTAGTGAAGAAATTGACGTCTGAATAGGCCTATATTCAAACTTATATATCCTGGAGTTCCTATTTAATTCCGGCAGAACGTTCTAGAATAAGTAGAGTAGACGTTTGCTGCTAGCTTAGTGGTTAGCGTCTTGGACATCGGTGTGAGAGCTACGGGTTCAATTCCCGGCAGATCCACAATTATTTAGAGATGTGGACCACTTTCCTATAAAAGCGTTTACAGTTCTTATTTACAAAATGCCTCTAACTAAAACAGACCAAACTGTACATGAGTTGTTATTGATCATCACGACAGAAGGTTTTATCTGCGGAGCGAAGTCATAATCTCGTGTCAGGGGTGTCTCGCGCTGACAGCAGACAACCCCCTTTCCTCGCTTTTTGCTTTTCACTGTCCCTAATATGTAACTTGAACAAAACAAGTTTGCGACAAAGTTTCCGCCTTGTCTTGTGCAGTGACGGCTCGACGGTCCGTACCACTGCCTGACACCGCTGTTGTACGCTAAACTTGACAACCATCTAACCTCTATCTGCAGAAGGGGTTGAGGATTTCTGTGCTTAAACACACTAACTACCGTGTAACATTTAATACTTAATATTTTCAATTTAGTTAAATATTTAACTGAATTAGTTATAGAAATTTTTATTTCAAATATTTATTGCATGATATAAATATTGTTGGGACTGGAAACACCAAAAACATATTTTATCTATCGAACATATTACATTGACTCACATTAATGACACGATAACCAACGTACTGATTAGAAGAGTACACGTTACTGCACCGGAAACCCCTAGAAG